ACCCTCGGGTCGCTTGGGCGTGGGGCTGTTTTTAATAGAGATTTTTAATCTAATGGGGACCACTCGTTTAGTTCTTCCGGGTTATTTTTTTTTTTCTCCCTACGGACACCTTCTCCAAGCGTGATCTCCAGTGTGTACGCTGTGCGCCGGCGGTATCTTTTTTTCTTTTGGTGTTTCCTCCCACCCCCGCTGGAAGCCTGCGCGGTCCGTGCTTGCTGGCCGGGGCTCTGCGTGTGCCTGCCCGGCCTCCTCCTCCTGCTCCTCCTGGTGCAGGTGGTCACATGCTGAAAATGAGCCCAAGAGGCTGAAGCCCTTAACCTGCCCTTGTGGCATCGGTGTCTAGCAGAAGGCACGTTGTTTTGGTTTTTGACAGCTCTGTTTTTTGGCTCGTCTTGAGTAAATGAAACCCGTGTTTGTTCTAATTAGGGTGCTTGCTAGGTTTTCTTAATGTCAGATTGACAGCGTCACATCGTCATCTCTCTAATTCCCTTCCTCCCTGTGTTGCCTGTAGTAATACTAGTATCTGCTTGGGGAAGTTGTGTCATCCAGTGCTTCCTAACACTGGCTGTATTTCAGCATGCAAAGATGGGCTGTAGCTGATCTTGCCGTAAGTATTATGATCATATGTGTTCCGACAAAGCTCAGCTTGTGAAGGAGTGTGCCCATCTGTCATGTTGTGGCAGAAGTGATGACTTTACCTGTTTCCGTGAGACGAAGGATATTGTCCTAAGGAGGATCATGGTCTTTGTGGTGGTCGTGGGCTGTTGGCTCTGCTACGAGCTCTGTGGTAAGGAAGAATGAGGCAAGATGATTTGGCTGATGGAGTGCTGGTCCTGCACACTCACTTTCAGAACTTAAAACTCTGCCAGGACCTTTAAAATGGGAGATGAGGGACAGAGGGCATCTTTATACTTTTGCTTCTGAATCTTTATGTCAGTGGTAAGAGAAGTGCAGTTTGTAAACCTTTGAGTCTGACCTAAAGGTCATTTTAGCAGGCAGGTATTTTAGCAAGGGTTGTTTACAGTCAAAGGCTAGGCTAATGAAAAGGTATCAAATAGTTAAGTGAGGCCTGTTCATAGTCCTCTATGGTTGGGCAAGTATGATGTTCACAGTATTAAAATAAAACTAATAGCTGACTGAAATAACCCATGATGAATAGTTCCTTCACTGTAGGCAGCTGTTGTAGGTGAAATAACATTAGGGAGTCAATCTACATTGGCCTGGTTAATATGAAGTATAAACTTGGGCCTAATCCCCCCCTTCTTGATCTTTCTCTTCTTGTGCTAGTGTCTAGAAAACGGATATTCCTTATAAGCCTCAAGGCTTATGCTGCTTTTTGCCATGGAAAGAAGCCACCAGTTTAAAACAGTGAATCATAGAATGGCCTAGGCTGGAAGGGACCTTAGAGATCATATAGTCCAACCTCCCTGTTTTGGGCAGGGACGCCACCTCTCGACTAGACCAGGTACCACATGGGGACCGAGTGGGAATTGAACCCACGACCTCAGTGTTGGTCCTTGTTGCTAGCACCACACTCAAACCACTGAGCTAACCGGTATCCCAGTGAACCCTGGCATGTCTCTCTGAATAACTGGAAGTCTGAGTGGGCTGGAGTCTGCCCTTGTCACATTCTGGGCTGTTTTACTCAGAACAAAAGCAGTCAAAACTTGATTTGGGATCTTGAGTTTCTTTTGCTTCTCTCAAAGCAAGCAATAGCGTGGAACTTAACAGGATGCTAAGAGGGAAGCTTGAGCAGTTTGAGCATTTGTAGTGGCTCTGTGTGTTCAGCATAAGATGTACTGAATAACTGTGTCCTGGCCTGGAAGGAGCAGAGATGCATAACTCTGGGGCAGATTTCGTATCCGCACTTAATTTTACCTTTTGCTAGAATAATTAATAATAATAATTAAAAAAATAATAAAAATACTTCTGAAAAATTCTGTAGCCAAAAGCTCAATGTGAAGCCAAAGCCCCAATACTTGGTGCCAACATGACAGGTAAGAGCTGCGTGCTCTTTACTGAAAACAGAGAATGTTGTGGCCAGCACAAGTTCCTAAGACTCGATGTGATGCTTGAGGTGTCAGATCCCTCAAGGACTGAGGCATCCTATAAAGATGTGATGAGAGTTTACCTAGAATTTAAAAGCTTATCTCAAGATACTTACCTAGTTTTTGAGTTTACCTCCCTGCCAAAATCTTAATATGTTAACAGAAGATTGCTAAGACTTTGCACTTTACTTCTAGAGCTTACCTGTTACTACTCTTTGCCCTCCCCTTCTTCTGTTTCAGGGTTCCTTGGAAATAACACAGAGTTTGGAAGATGATCCTCTACTAGATGCACCGCTTATTTCGTCTCATACATTGCATTCCCAACTGAGGCCAAGATTTCATGCTATCCCAGCAGTTCTCCTTGCCAATTTTCTGTTGCTAATACATGTAAGTTCAGGAAGCATGATTTTATTATGAGAATTTGCTGTCTCTATTCTGAATTTTTATTGTTCATGTGGACAGAATTCTCATGAGACTTGTTCATGCTGTTCTTCCAAACCAGCAGAGTACTGTTTGTCATTGAATTTTGATAATGTATATGCTAAATGATACTTGCTGCATTCTCATTGTTTGTTGGCACTGACGTGCTGTGATGTGTCTTGTTAGGAAGAAAAGCCTTTAAATAGTAATTCTATGCTCTTGGAAATGTACTTTCAAAATAATGTTACTGCCGTAGAAGTACTTACACTAGTTATAAAGGTCTAAGATGATTTGATGCCTTGCTTTCTGGAGGCTGAACTTAACTTCACAGAAAGACTTAATATATTTCTTCTGATAACTGAACAAGCAAAGCTGGACTTGCTCTGAGGGTTTTGCATGGTAGTGGATGGAGAGATAAGAGAATCCAAATGTTGCTTCCTGCTCTTTCCTTCTGGAGGTTGAGGACAGCTTTTGTACCTTGCAGTGCAAAGGTGTTTTTGAGGCTGGTAGACAGAAATAGAGAGACTCCTACCTAGTAGCGAGCTTATCCTTGATTAAGCTGAAGAGGCTTACTGTTGCTTGTGAGTGTGTGGAATCCAAACATGAAGAAGGAGTGATGAAGTGCTCTGATCCTGAGATCTAACTGAAATAGTACTTGTATGATGCTTAGAGATGTGGTTTAGTGGTGGACTTGGTAGTGTTATGTAAATGGTCGAACTATCTTAAGGGTCTTTTCCAACCTAAATAATTCTATTATTCTATAATGCCACTAACACTGACCTGAGGGTAGTATGTTTATAAAGCCAGAGAGTGTACAAGACGTACGTGTGTGTTGCTCACTGTTTTAGAGTGTCAAACAAAAAGATGCAAAATGTACTCTCTGCTGGAATTTTAAAAGCATGTACCAATCTCTAAGGTCTCTCTTTGAACAGCTGTGTAAAGCTATTCAAACAATATGCCCTAGCCTTCTAATTTTAGAAGTAAATGCTTTGTGGACTTAAGAAATGCCCCTTTGTTTATCACGTAGACTTAGGAAAGACTTCTGCTGCATAAACTACCAAAATTCTCAATGGAAACTGCATATCCAGCCTTATCCCTCTGTACTTAGCACTGGTGAGGCCGCACCTTGAGTACTGTGTTCAGTTTTGGGCACCTCGGTATAAGAGACATCGAGGTGTTGGAGTGAGTGCAGAAGAGAGCAACAAAGCTGTTGAAGGGCCTGGAGAACAGACCTTATGAGGAGCGATTGAGGGAGCTGGGTCTGTTCAGTTTGACAAAGAGGAGGCTGAGGGGGGATCTCATCATGCTCTACGGTTACTTGAAAGGACATTGTAGAGAGGTTGGTGCTGGTCTCTTCTCACAGGCAATTAGGGACAGAACCAGGGGGAATAGTTTCAAGCTGCAACAAGGCAAGTTTAGGCTGGACATTAGGAAGAAATTCTTCACGGAAGGAGTGGTCAGACACTGGAACAGACTGCCTAGGGAGGTGGTTGAGTCACCATCCCTGGATGTGTTCAAGTGTCGTTTAGATGGGGTCTTGGGTGATATGGTTTAGGGGTGACCTTGCAGTGTAGGGTCAATGGTTGGACTCGATGATCCCAAGGGTCTTTTCCAACCTGAATTGTTCTATGAGTCTATGATCCCCTTCCTGAAGAACTCTGGTGCCATCCCATTAGGATGGCACTTGAAGTCTACTACAGAGGTAGACGCTGCTACTGGTAGTAGAACAGTAAATGTTTTTCTGCCCAACCTTGGGGCGTTATTATCTACTACCAAAACGGATGTAGCCAAATGTCAGTCACCGAGATCCTAGGAAACTGCTCCCTCTTCTGTTTCTGCCACTTCCCCTCTCTTGCAAATGGAGACAAGTGTGAGGAGGAGAAGAAAGAGGGGGAAAAAAGAACAAACTTCTGAGGCCTCTGTCAACACACACTTTTCCAGGTAAAGTATTACTGCTGTTGCTGAACCTGCTGCAGTGACTGGTTGGTCCTTGGAACAAAATGCGAAAGTATCCTTTTTCTGTTGGTGAAATACAGCATAATAATTGCCACATGAAATGGTGCTGTCTTTTGCTGAAAAGATGGATGGGGAAAGCAAGCTTATTGGATTTCCTTCCCCTCTGCTTCTGCAAATATGCACAAACCTTGTGAAGCGTGGAGACACCAGGTTAGCTTCTGATGCGCAGCCTGCCAAAGGGGCAAGTATCCTGGAGAAGTACAGCCATCTTAGTATTATGCTGTAGAATTGTAGCATGTCTGTAAGGTAATTTGAATGTCACTTGGCATATTTCCTTTCCACCCTCTGGTGCTAAGAAATGGAGTTAGGTAGCAAATAACACTGGTGCAGCTGCCTAGTTACACACAATTCTGGAGTGTGTAGTAGGAAATGCTAGAGTGTGGTGTGGCTGGGTTTTTGAGTGGCTTTCTTATTGCCAAGCCTTTATTTTCTACAGGCTTCTGACTCCTATCAGGAGACTCTGGAGAGCAGTGTAAAGTGTACAGGCTAGAATTAATTTCTTTATATTAACTCTTTCCTTAATCTTCTCTGTCTATGCACATACACAAAGCTGAACTTAACTGTTACTATCTGTAAGAGTAAATTTTGGTATATAAATCCCCTGTACTGGGCTGAAGCACCTGTTGTTGGACTACCCTAAAATGTAAGCAAAACACCTTTTGTAAATGCTACTCTTAATGCCAGCTACCTGTTTCCTCTTGTATACACTGCTGTAGTAATGAGTAGAGCTGCAATGCTAGGCCACTCCCACTTGCATCAGTTTAATATAGTCATTTTCTGTACTGAAACACATACCTAACATCTGGAGGGAGTGGAACTAGGTGTGATGTGTTACTATTTTAAAATGGGAAGCCAAATGGCAAATAGACCAAATGAAATATGGGCTAGCAGGATTATTCTTAGCTTTGCATGAAAAGGAGGTTAAAGAGTTAAATGAATGTTTTATTGATAAACCTTCCTTTTATTGAACTTATTAATTTGACTACTTAGCCCATCTCAGGTAATTTGGGATTTAACTTGCATTTAAAGTAATGCTCTTATCCATAATATAGAGGACATGCTCGTTTTTTGTTTTTTCTTTTCTCCTACCTTCTACCCTGTCTGTCCTCTATAATGTCTCTTTGCTGTTGATGATTGTGTGAAAATTATTGCCCCTTTTTCCTCCCTTCTGAATTACTTTATTCACAGTCAGAGCAAGCTAAAGGCAGCTCCTATCAGGAGTGCTTCTGGAAGGTTAATTTCTGAAGAAAGCTGCTTAAGAAATGACAAAACCATGAAAAATAAGCTCAAGGGAGTGGGAAGGGGACTCTTAGACATAGAATTTTGTATAGAAACAAAGCTAGCAAATGAAAATCAAACTTTTTCCTCCTTCTTCAGTTCTTATGGGTTGTTTCTATCAGTTATGAGATGCAGAATATTGGACACATTAAGTATATGAGAGGCAATAGTTTTGCAGACTTGAGGCAAATTGATTTCTTTTTGTTGTATGTAGAAGCTCTGAATTCTGTATTGGTGGGAGTTGCTTTTGTTTTCAATAAATCAGAATGAGAAAGTATCATGTTTTCTTGGTCACTGAATGAAAGTAGTAGAGAGTACTTTGTATGACAAAAATACTGTATAAAGATTAAAAAAGCCCTGTGTATATACATATACCCCAGATAATGTACACCCATGACTCTGCCTTCTAGTTGGGCAAAACACTGCTGATGCTTACTCCTGATCCTGAAAACTAGGAGAAAAGCCTAGAAAACAGGAAAAGTTATGGCATAATGGCACTAATCTGGAAGTATAAATATATATACAATCTGAATTACTACACTCTGGTCGTTCTGCCATAAGTTCTGAGGAAGATGGAAAAAAATTATAGTAAATACACTAAAGAATGATAACCAACTGGCAAAGATGTCTACCCAGTGTTGTTAATATATTTTTTTAGATTACTATGATGTTTCACTTTTAATGTCATAGTCTGGAGATTATGTTCAGTGGATATAGTAACAGGTTGATCTTCACTTACGAAATGTCAGTTTCAAGAAATGTACTGTACCAGTAAGATATGAGGCTGTCCTGCAGAGCAGAACCAGGTGTTAACTGAATGAGTCTGAAAAGATGCTTTTTTTTTTTTTTTTTTTTTTTTTTTTTTTTTTTGGAGCGAGTATGACATGAGTTCTGATAAAAGTAAAAAGGCAAAGTAAAGAGGGCCCAGAAATAAGATATATTCACTATGAAAGGAGGACTTGGGGAACCGTGAAATTGATTTGGAGAAAATTCTGGAGTGGTGGTTCGTCACTCTCTTCTGCTGGAGACTGGAAGATGCTCTTACTACTTAGCAATTTTGATCATTGCTGTATTCCCAGAATGACATGTAATGGTTGTATTAAGTGTCTAGTGTTTTATATGTCATTTTATCTCTTAATAAAATCAGTTCAGAAAGCAATGCATAATGAATAAATTATGTAAGCATGTATATTTATTTTTTTTAGTGTAGTAAAAGTGTTGCCTTTAAGACTTTCCTCTCTCTCCCTTTCTCTTCCAGGTTGCTTTTGTTGTTCTAGCATTTTTAGCAGCTATGTTTTGTTCTTACCCCAATCCAAATCAGGACAAGTGCCCTGGTAACTATACTCACCCACTTAAAGTGCAGACTGTCATAATCATTGCAAAAGTAATTCTGTGGATTCTGCATGTTTTCTTTGAACGATACATCCAGCATCACCACAGTAAAGTCAGAAGCAGAGGTTACTTCACAATATATCGATCAACAAGACATCTGAAAAGGCTTCCACTGGTGATACACTCCACAGGTGAAGTGAACTTGCTCTCCTTGCTTTTTCTTTTAAAGCTTTAAACTACAGTTTTAAACAATAAAAGACTGAGCAGTTTATATATCGTGTGTATTAATACTATGAACTTTAAAAACCTGCCTATGGGCATTTATAAAATTATTTTAGTCAGGTGGATCTCCTGACTCGCGTTTCTAGGCTCCTAGATGTTGCAATGAACTTTGTAGTGTAAAAATACCCACAAATGTGAGGCTGAGTAGAACATGCAGTCTTTAGCCATAAAATGTTCAGCCAGCAAGGTTTTTGTTTCCGTGCTAGTGACCTCAGTTTGCATACTCATTTGTGTAGCTGCATATGTGGCAAGTCTGCTAGTCCTTCCAGAAAGTGTATTACCTTTTTATTATTATTTTTTTCCAAAGCTCAGCAATTAACATAGAAACAGATGAATTGCATGTTTCTCAACAGCTGTCTGAAATCAGTAAAATAAGCGATTTTCTGATCTTCAGTGGGGCTATGTGTACTGCTCAGCTCTACTTCTGCCTATGGACAAAGGGTAGTGTATGGGTGTGGTTTAACTGTATCTTCTGAGTTACATCACTGGCTAGTGAAGCTGAAAGAAGTGTTGGTACAATTAGCTCGTGTAGCTTTTCTAATAAACTACTTCAAATCTAAAATTATTTAACTTGAGGAGATTTTTCACACAGATAGCAATGCAAAAGGGAATGGTGGTGGAGTTTTTTGCCTCTTATAATCCCACCTCCCTTCTCTAAGTCTTCTGAATAGCTGGAGTAAAAATTTTTTCACCAGAATTGATAAGTTAGATGGTCCTGCTTTTATATAAAACTCTAGCTTTCTTTCAATTCAGATGCTAAAAGAGCTAATCAACTTGATGAATGTGCAAAACTTCAGGCTTTGGCCACTAGATAGAGCTCTGAAGATAAAGATGTGTTTGGAGTGCAGTGACACAGTTGGGCTAGAAGGGCTTAAGGACGTTTCAGAAGAGTAAAAGGACTATTTCTGCCTACTGTGATGCAATCTGCAATACTTACTCCTGTCTTTAAGTAGCCAGTTTCTCCCCTGCCAGGCAAACTCGAGGAATGTGTAAATGTTCAGGTGCAATCACTTATGTGCTATAGGTGGTTGATGTAGATCACTTGTCGTTGAAAAGGTGACCAGCTCCATTACTGCAAGCTCCCTGCCATGCTGATTGCTGCTGATACCACTTCCATCCTGGCAGTTCAGTTGCTTAACACAGTATGAAAGAGAACTGTACAGTTCCCTAGCTACCTTAATGGTGTTACTACACTTAATGCTTAAACTAGGCACTGGTCATGGGATTTTTACAGGAAAGAAGAGAACATTTTGCCCTCTGTATCAGAGAAGAGGGCGTGTGAAGAATTAAGAATGCTTGTTAGACCTGTAGCTTAACACTTGACTAATCGTGCTCATTTCAGTCAAACTTTCAGTATCTTGCAAGTATTAAAGTAATAGCTAGGCGACTGGAAAGAAGCCTATGCAAGTATTGCCCCGTGAAAGGAAGGTGGTTGGTTGTTTTGTTAGCCTAATTTAAATACACTCAAATCTACTGCTTGAGAGTGTTCTTCCTTTATTTTGAATTGGCTGATGTGACCTCTTAGAAATTGAAAGAAACCAATAGTCTGCGGGAAGTTTTGAGGATGGGTAGCAGCAACACGGTTAGAGAAACATTTAAGCCAACCCATGTATGTTAGGTATTTATACTGTGTTTCTTCCATACTTGTTCTTTAAGTCAGAAAAATATGTAAGAAAACTCTTCATTCTCTACGATTATATTCAAGTGCTGAAATGAAACCTCACTTTGCTGTCAATAGTTATAAGCTTGTTTCACCTACGTTAAGGAAACTGGCTAGAGACACAAGTATGGTGTGAAATAGAAAAGCATTTCTGAAATGTTGCAGCCAGTGCATATACTGGGGATGAGACAGTACTAAGTTATTCTCAACAGCTAATGGAATTGCTACACCTGTAAAATATAACATTTGTCTTCTAGGTAATGCAGCCCTGCTTTTGATTTTGTCAGTGCAGCATTCCTTTCCTGATCGAAGTAAAGTGTACCTGTACCTGATCCTGGGAGTCCTGGGCCTGGAGCTTATTAGCTCGCTGACGTGCTTAGTGATTTACACAGGTGAGAGAGATGACTTTTGCTGTCTTGAGTGAGACTTACTGTAACTGCTACTCAGCTGTTTTGTTTGCCCTCACAGTAGCTCACTTGGAGTACTCAAAGACATTTTACTGCAACTACAAATACAGAATGATTCTGTGCTTGTAGAAGGAGAACTAAGGCAAACTCAAAACAATTGGGAATGTTGTCAGGCTTGATTTAATCTCCAAGTACTTCTGAATGACAGCTCCAGATTACCTCAAAGCTGTTGATCCAGTGAAGTGGCAATAAATGCGTAACTGTTGCAGAAATGTAATGTGAACAGGCTTGTCTGTTTAACGGTGTCGTCTCAAATGCATGTGTGACAAGCTGTGAAACAGGGAGAGCTGTCTGGCTTAATCAGAACTGCTGGGATTTACATGTGGGACGTGCATAGTGTGATTGTGCCTTACTCTCCAGACTCTTCCTCTTTCTCTGGTCACACCCCAAAAGCTTCAGTTCCTCTTTGTCACCAACACAGAAGATTCCATCTAATGTGGATTGTTTTTCTTAAAAAACCAACCAAACAAAAAATCCATGGCTTTCTGGAATCTGTGCTAATACTAAAATAAGATACTGCTTCATAAAACTGAGACATTGCTTTGTATTGGCACTGTTGGCATGTAACATTATCTGCTTTTAGGTTTGATGTAACTTATCAAGCCTTGATAAACCTCTTTTCATTAAACTATTGCAGAACTATCAAATGTTGATAAATGCTTTGACCAAATACTATATGAGTTCATAGCTTGCATCGAATCAAATGAAAATAACTGAATTGGAGAAAAAACAAAAACCGCAAAAAACCCACTGAAAATGTATGACACTAAAAAATGCAGTTATTTGTTGTTTGAAGAAAACTAGAGATGTTTACTGTGAAGTCCATGTCTGTTTAAATGACATGTAGTTCCTGCTTTTGAGTTAAATAGTTTATGCTTCCAAGATGCTGCTTTATGGTTATTTACAGCTACAAACAAGGAGATGGCATGTTTGTTAAGTAGCCTTGGTAGCACTGGTTTCTCTGGGTGTGGGACACAGGGATCAAAACCAGTGGGCAGAACTTAGTTTGGTCCTGACTTCTAATCAAACAGGAGGAAAGAGTGGAAATAAGTCCTTCAGGGCTGCCTGAAGCTTAAATCTGACTTCTTTTGTGATTTCAGAATTAGTAGTTAATCTAGGATATAAATTTTTTGAGAAGAACACTTTGGTGTGGTCTGAGTAATGTAATGACACACAGAGAAATACTGCCAAGTAGCTTGGTCATCTAGGAAATATAACAGCACTGAAATCAAAAAGTCCCAGCTCTAAACTATGTCCTCCTCTTACAGCTGTGCAGAGGCCTGAATGCTGTAGGATTGTCAGGATTTTCTCTGAATGGACCAGCCTGGCTCAAGTAGACTGTCCTCTGGAGGAATAGAGGCAGTGATGAGCAAACAGAAGTGTGGCAGTCCTAGAGAACTATTCCAAGAATGCTGGAGATCACGTCTTTGCATATGTATACTTGCTTTCTTGGGAAACTCAGGAAATAAGAGATAAATTGCAAAACTTAACTGTTTCACTGGAATTCCTGATGTTCTATTTATTTCTTACCCTGAGGCCTCTTGGAACTCAAAGGGCTACATTGTGTCTGTCTTAGCCTGGCAGAAAAGTATAAGCAACTGCACGAAAACTGACCTTCATAGTCGTAAGGTCTGAGCCAGGACTTCCATAAGAGCTCTCCATAAGAGCTATCTTCTGTCACCAAAAAGGTTTTGTTTCCTAGTTTGTACTCTGTCAGTTCCTGTACCCATCAAATTCATTAACCAATTTATACTAGGAAGCTGTAGGGTGTGGTGTTTTGCTTTCCAGTTGCAGAAGGCTCTGGTGAGTCCTGGAACTACAGTGAAGGAGAGGCAGAGCTGCATTGCTAGGAAAGAGTAAGGCAGTTCCTTCTGGCAACAGCTACATGATTTCTTCAGCAGCCCCAAAACAACAGTTGTCTAAGCCTCATTCCCAAAGGCTTAGTGTGCAAAACTAGAGTAAATTTTCATGTAACTTAACACTTGCTTGAAGATGAGGAAGACCTCCAGTCACTCTAGGTTGCCTTTTCCAGTGGGTAGGGTAACTTTTCTTTTCCATCCCAGTATGTGTTGAGGTAAGCTAAGCCACTGTGTGCATGTCTGTCTCCTGTGTAGAAGCTACACAAGAACTTATTTGGCCCATTTTGAAAATAGCTGGAGAACCTTTAGTAATAGTGAGACTCAAGTTTTCTCTCAACAGGGCAAAGTATGTGACTGGATGGAAGCATGAAGTTGCTTTTAGTAACGGTTCTAAGGGTAGTCCTGTGCTCAGGGTCAGAGTACCCCTCTGCTAGGCAAACACTTAGCAAATACCACTTACTGTTAAGATAGTATCAGATAATGTAGCTGAGCAACAATGGCAAGATTAAGGTCACTTTACACTAGCAGCTGCTTTCTTGTGTTAGTATATTACTCCTAAATTTTGGAGGGAAGATAGTACCAGCTAATACATTGTTTCTCCATGGTAGGATAATTTCTTTCTGAACTACTATGAAGAGGCATTAAATGCTTAGCTATAGAAGATTCATGTACCTGGCTTAATTTCACAGATGAAAAGTCGTGTCATGGAATACCTGACTGTAGTTCTGTGTATTTCTTCTTACCTGTTGGAGTTCTTTAATGAGTGGCATGATGCCCAATGTCCTGTGAAGTACTATTGCCTTTCTTAAAATTATCTCTGTGTATGCAAATGTAGCCATAGATGTGGGACAGGGATTTGGAAATGTACAAGAAATTGCTCTGAATTACCTACAACAGACATAAGACGTGAATCGTTTAAGTGAGGTAAATGTGCGTGGAATGAAGTATGATAGAGCACTAAATGTCAGCTTCTTGTTGGAAGTTTGTTATTGGTAGAATAGGGAGTCAACCTTTAAAAAGTTTTCTAAATATATTTAATGACTTTCTTACATATTTCTAATATCACTTGAATAAAAGACTAACATTCCCACAAACAACCCATGTTGGGAACTCCACATCCATTCCTTTGTGACTTTATTTGTAGAGAAATACCATTATAGAAATAACTAACCTTTGAGCTTAACTTGTAGTTAACCTCTGGAGGGTCTTAGCACTGTTTTAGCAGGCTGGCCTGTAATAAACCCCATCATATTATTGACTTCTAAGGACAGTATTTCCCTGCTGTAGTAGTGTGGATTTCTCATGGAGCCGGACTGTAACGTTTTCAGTCGTGTTGGGTGTGTTGCTTCCCAAGCAGCCTGAACTTCAAGGTCCTGAATGCCTACTCCAGATCTCTCAGAGGTACATACCCTGAATCAGGATCTGATATTGAATGGCTTTAAATATTTTCAGCTTCCTTCCAGAAATAATGCAGAGGATGCCTACAGCTTCTCCCACGCCCACCCGTCCCCATTCCACATATGTTAAATTTAGTCTTGAGCTTTATTCACAGGCGCTGGGGAATGACTTCTGGTTTTCATAGCCAACAGAGCAAGGTTCACAATGTAAAGCTGAACACAGAGCCACTCTGGTTTGAATGCTTCCATGTTTTCTGTAGCAACTCTGCCCTAGTTTTAGAGCAGGCAACAAGCTGCTGCTTCATTACAGCTAGTCTAGTTAAAATAGTATGTATCAAAGAGATTAAGTTTTCAAGTTCTGACCTAGATACTAGCATCAAAGCTTGGCACAACTGTTTTATGGCATGTTGCTGAATTTGTGGCCTAAATTTGGAGACTGAATCTCACTACCCTCTCAAAAGGCAATGATCATTTCACCCTCTCCTAGGTGATGGATTGAACTTTGTAGGTGTTAAACTGTATGTTCAAGCTTCCCCATTCATGTCTTTGTTTTGCTGTGGTGGTCTAAGCAATGAGGCTGAAGAAGAGAAGATTCTTTTATTGTCTTTCCATCCCATCTCCTCTCCTAAGACAATCCTACAACAATCGTCTGTTACAGATTTATTTGCTTTTAACTTGAAGCTTGATGATAAAGCTTTTTTTCCTTTTTTTGGTTGCTTTGCAACTAATATATAAAAATTCATTGCAGTGAAAATAAGCAACTTCAATCGTGCGAAGCCAAGACCTGACATAATTGAAGAAGAAAAGATGTATGCCTACCCTAGTCATATTACCTCAGAAATTGGATTCAGGTAAGATTGTGGGTTTTTTCTGTATTAATCTTGTACTGTGGTCAGCTATGGTGTATAGTTAATGCATATCATCTTAAATCTGTCAACCAAAGTAGAGATGGGAATAAGTTCTGAAGGAAACCATATGCTTAAGAGTACCATTTTACACAGATGAGAAGCAGCAGTCTTGTACTTGCCATATAGTAATGGCAATCTGTTGTGATGCAGAAATCCTCAGACATGAGGACAGAAATGATTTGACCATTTATGGCTGGTTGAATGAAGTCTTAATGTGCTATAAATAACTGTGCTTAATCTGGTTAGTTGACTTCATATGGGAGTTTGAGGGAAGATACTGGTGTATTATGCTGTTACTTTAAAGCATGCCTACGGAAGCCTGGCTTCTTCAGGGAAAGAAATATATTGTGGGCAGCTGATAGATAAAGAAGAAAGTCTTGCACCTGTATTCTGTGCTAGCAGTTGGGCATGAGATTCTAGTGAGGGATTCAGAATATATTTCCAATTTGGGAAGGAACTTTAAAGGTGTGTGAGGCACTTAGGTGCTAAGAAAGTTCTCAGTGAGATAGAAGAGCTATCCAACATTAACCTCACAAGCACTGAGACTTACTGTGCGTTTATTCTTTGTGTACTTTCTGACTGCTTCAACATCATTCCAGTTGCTGAAATGAGTCTGGTATGACTTAACAAAATCCCATCATCAAAACTAACTTGGATTTCTATAATAAGAATTTACTGAGAAATTTTCTAATACAGTATGATGTGCTGCTCTGTGTGTGCACCTTAGTAAAAAGCTGACGTGAAGTCGTGACTAATACGTCGGCGCTTCCCCTGGTGTCACAAGTGCAGCACGCACATGCTTTTATGGAACTTGGAAGTAGATGTCCAGGATACAGGAAGGATTTAGAGTTGTCTTGAATTTTGATACAATGTCCGACTTGCATCTTGATATAAACAGCATGGTGAATGTATGGTGGACCTCATTGCTTTCTCATTCAGCTTCTCCCCTGAGAAATTCTC